CTTCAGAGAAGACAGAGTGAACAACGTCACATATGTGGTAAATTGAGACTGTGAAGACTTGAAGTCACCTGATTGTGGAAAAAGTCTTAAAAATTGTGAAAAAGCAATGGGTGGGAAATGTGTCATATTGCTTTGTTAATGACTTGTCACCTTAACAGAATGCACTGTTGCACAGGTACACATTGTTTCTTAATGGGTTGCATACTGCCTCTTTAGGCTGCATGAATAATTAAACTTAAAGTACAATATTGCCTATAGTGCAAAAGCCCAAACTGATTATGTTATAGAATATGCAGGATTAGACCCAGAACACGAAACTAATTAAAAACAGCTCTTTAACGTATTTTTCAAAATAAAAATATTTATTGAAAATAATTGTGATTTGGATTTATTTTAGTGTGTTTTATGCTGCCTTCAAGTGTACCTAAGAATGATTCTACAAATATGGAAAACCAACAATTTATTTAGACACTAATGTTCAAAAGTTTTGGGTCAGCAAGATGTTTTTAATGTATCTGAAAGAAGTCTCTTATTCTCAACAAGGCTGCATTTATTTGATCAAAAAATAAATAAATAAAATTTAAATATAAGAAATATTATTACTTAAATATTATTATTGTTTTCTATTTTAATATATTTTGAAATATACAGGTGCATCTCAATAAATTAGAATGCCGTGGAAAAGTTCATTTATTTCAGTAATTCAACTCAAATTGTGAAACTCGTGTATTAAATAAATTCAATGCAAAAACGACACACATACAGCAAGACAATATAATTTCACTTACCTGGACTATCACTTGACGCAAACATCCATCCCTTCTTAAAAGTCTGTGTTAAAAGAGCCGACTGCTGTAACGTTGTCCTCCTCCCATTTTCACCTCAAAAATTTTGGGGAAGCTGTGCCTCCCCCGACGAGCCGCCACTGCACATGATCCTTCAGAAATCATTCTAATATGCTGATTTGCTAATATGCTAATAAAAAAGTTTATTTGAAAAAAAAATTAACACTGTAAATGTAGTCACCTTTGATCAATTTAATGCTTTATTGCTTAATAAATGTATTAATTTCTTTCAAAACATATTTCTTGTGAACTTTTGAACGATAGTGTCTTTTTTTTTTGTAACAGTGGATAAGTGCAAGTGAATACATATTATAGTTTTTATACAACATTTATGTTTTATTTATGCATATTCTTCAGATTAAAATTGTTGCATTGTAATTAAAAAAATAAATAAAAAAAACTGCTACTGCTAGCTACTCCCCGCCATCTTTCACATGGTTTTTAACATTCACAAGTCAGATAAGACTGAGAATACTAAGTTTCCTCCTGGTTCTTTTCTGGTCAGTCATGTGCACAAATTCAAGATATATTCAACTTTACTTGAAAGCTATGTTATTGTAGCACGCCCATGCTAATAATATAATGATTATTACTGCATATAACACGCACAGAGAGATGAGTCCTTGCTCGACTAGAAATACAATTAGGAGCTACATAATAATTCAATGTCATGTAATTCACTTAGAAGTAATTGTAACACTTTATAGCAACATTTCAATCACATTACGCTACATTAAGACACTTAACAGACATTTTTACTTAAAGTCTTAAAGGAGGATCACAGATCAATTAGAATCAACAAGGAGATCCTGTTTCCCGTTTAATGCATTCATGAAATGTTAGACATCCCTGAGCCACAGAAAAGTTATTTGTTAGCTTGCATTTGCTTTACATGCAAAAAACTGCTTGTGTTAAATAACTCTAGTAAGATCTTTCAAAAGGGCACATGCTAATGTAGTCACTGACTCTAATACCTCATTTACAAAAGCACATAGTTCCACTGCACTGAATTCAAAGTGGTGCTATACAGAGCTGCTGAATATGTACAAGAGGAACTGAGCAGATGAAATTCACACTGGGTTTGGTAGCAGTCTGGTACGGTCATGCAACTGGCGGTAAATATTTGCTGAAAACACTGTGTGCTAACTAGCCATGCTTAATTGGGTGAATTTTCATCTATGTAGCAAACTTCATTACACAAATTTAATTCTGTTGTCAAAACATTTATCTGGATGTCTCCCTTAATTCAGAGCTATTTGTCATTAAGACCTACAATATGATTTACTGGGTAATGCTACACTGCAAAATGAATATAAAATGCTACATAATGAAAGCAGAGTGGATGTGCGTTGCTGTGAATGCCAAATGCAATGTAATGGAAGCAGATCATTTGTGCCTTCCTAGTCTGACATGATACTTTGAATTGGTTTAGCGTGATATTTTATTCTAGAACAAGTGAATGTACAGATATATCTTGGGAAATGTCACATTAAATTCACATCATTATGAATTTTAATATTCATCTCTGCCTGGACTCTGCCTTTTTTTTTTGGTGGATTTTTTACGTGTGCATCCGCACATGCTTTTTCAGCTTGCATGAACATTTCCCACATCAAAGGGGTCAAAGTAGAGTTGGTTAGCATGACCCTGTTAGCCCCTGATAGTAGATGTGACACCATCTGCCTGCAAATACACAAGTTGCTTCACTGACGACAATTCAAGCTGATCTATGTATTCTGGGGGGAAAAGGTTTGTGTAAATAACATACGAAGCACAAATATTTTACTATATTATAGACAGTGATGCACCGAAATTGCAGCAACAAAAAATTAGATCGAAATTTTGGTTTTGGCTGAAATAGTTTTGAAGGGCCGAAACTGTTGACTAATATCAGTTTTTCGTTTTTAATTGATAATGATATGGATTATTAAATCACAAGATCGATCTTTTATTCTATGCTGTTTTATGCATCTGACATCCAAATAACTGCAACAGCCTTGCATTTGCATATATTAATATAAAACACAGTCAGCTTTCGAATTCTGTTAATTTTATCCAAAAAACAAACAATACGTGTGGTTTTGACACTCTAAGCATGAATGAACATCAGAAGGTCTGTTGAGAGAAACAGTAGAACTTACAGAAATGTATCATGTCTCAAATAATTGCTCAAGTAGTGTAGGGAAGTCAATAAATCAGCTTGTAAACAATGTCAAGTAATGTTGTATTTATCTCAGGAAAGCTCTTCAGTGTACATAATGTCATTAGTCAGCTACAAAAAACGAGCACTATATGCTACTATATTACATATTCATTATATTTTACTTAATCTGTTTGAATGAAAACAAGTTGCTATTACAGCCACCATTTAAATATTTATAGTTCAACAACAAATTAGAGTACAAACTTAATTATTTTCATGAAACAAAAAGACAAAAAAAGCACGTTTATACAACTTCGGTTTCGTTTTTTGGCTCAACGACAACATTAATTTCATTAATTTAAATTTTGGCCTAATAAAACCTTTCATTTACTGGTGTTAAATTAATTTTGGTGAATCGCTAATAGTAGATGTCTTACTATGTCTACTGAAAGGGTGAAATGGATTTATATTTGCATTATATTTTTCTCCCTGTCTGCTGCATTTGACATCACATCACAGATTAAGGTAATGAAAATGCTAATGCTAGAGGCTATTTGAAAAAAATCGTAGACTAAAAGGGAGTCTGGGGTATCAAGGCACAATTGATGATGTCTCAAAACTGCTGTACTGTCTAACTACATTCACGTAGGTAGTCAAGCACACTTTTAGTCTGTGATTTACTAAATTTTTGTGCATATAAAACACACGCAAACCAGATGGCACATGCAAAAAAAAAAAAAAAAAA